TTGTCTCTTTGACCCTTTGTGAGCTGGGCTACTTCCTTTACTATTTCATTGGATACTGTAGCTCTTTCTTGTACATGGGCTATTTGGTTCTGCAGGCCTTCTATACATTGAAACTCTTCGCTCAGTATCACTTCCTCTATTGTTGGGATAGGCAGAGGCTTTGGTGGTTCAGGTTCTGGAGTCATTATCCACCAAAGTCCAGTGAAACGGCCATATTCACGTAGATGTGAGCTCAAGGACCTTCTATCTTCATCTGTTGGCATCCTTGACAGACAGATGTAGTTTTCCTTGTTTGATGGAAACAATTCTGTTGCCGAATCAGGGGTTTTGTCTGTGACTTTCTTTTTCTTCCAGGAACACTCGACATCGGTTCTGCTTACATTGTGTATGCCATGTATAAATAATGCGGCGGCATGACTGCATTTGAATGCTCCTCTTGGACATTCACAGTCGGTAGATTTGATGCAATCCTTCTCATCTAGGTATATCTGGAAAGAAAATCAGGGATATTAAGAAATATGTAAGTTTTGATACAAATATCAGAGTTTTAAAGCCACTCTGCCAAGACAATAGCAGCAAAGCTATAGACGCGACCTTTTTTACGAGGAGTTTTACAGTAAAAACTTGATCCAAACTACTTTAAAAACATATAGTATGGACACGATCTTAAGTACTTTATTAGTTTGCCATTACTTTATTAAAGTCGGGATTGTCTCATCATCAGCAAGTACGCGACAGTTAAGCGTCGCTACAAAGACATACGCACGTGCACATATAAACTTACCGTGACTTTATACACTTTGCTTTTCATGCTTGCATGAACTTGACCTCTGATCACACCATCAGCGTACGAGAAACATTCTATGTGACCGGACTTATAATGATTTTCGCCTCTAGAAATTGATTTGTGTTCTTCAGAGAAGAAATTACTTAGAGCTGTTATTGAAAGCGCCGCCATCTTTGATTGTTCAAGCTTTGTTTAGAACAGAGTTTTTTGGTCTCGTAGCAACGTGACGTCACGACTTAAGGACTCTAT